TGTATAAAATATTAATATATTATTCATGGTTATGAGTATATTTCACTGCATCAGTAGTAGTGTGCAGACGATCACAATTTCCATAAGTGTCGTAATGTAGCTATCCCAGACTCATTCTGTGCGAGTTTGTTGGTGTCTGCTAAATCCATGGGTCTCGGTGTGACTTGTCTGTCAGTCTACGGGTCTCTGCGTGAGTCTATGGGTCTCTGCGTGAGTCTATGGGTCTCTGCGTGAGTCTGTGGGTCTGCGAGTCTACGGGTCTCTGTGTGAGTCTACGGGTCTCTGTGTGAGTCTACGGGTCTCTGTGTGAGGCTACGGGTCTCTGTGTGAGTCTTACCGGTTTCGGCATGAGTCGCTGGTGACCAGGCTGAGACCATCACCACTGTACGTTCAAGAACTCGGGTTGTTCGCGGTTGTGCGGCTGTAACCTGGATGCAAACTCGGGATCTCGGCTGTGCCGGCTCAGCATCCCTGACCCCTGAGTCAGCCCGGCGTCCTCTGTCCATTACTATTATTATTATTATATATGCAAGTATGTGTATATTATTCATACGCAGATGCGTGTTTGTGCACGCGTGTTGCTGTGGTGGTGCGCCCACGCACGCGAATCACGCGCGGTCGTCGCGCACGCACACCTCCACCCCACCGCCTCCCCTCATCTCCCCCCTGCTGTCGCCGCTCACCACTTTAAGCACTCAAATCCACAAATACAAACAAAAACCCGCACAGCCTCATTTATCTCAATTTTTGCGTGGTGCCCCCGCCGCTTTCTAAAATAATGTTTCTCTTCTCCATCGTTTATGGGTCAGATATTCAGCGGCAATCTGCTGCTGCTGCGGTAGCGGCGCCGCACGCATTTACATTTAGATTCGCTGCGGCACGGCCAGCGCAGGCATTTGCATTTCGTGCAGAGGCGACGCGGACACACGCGCACACATACGCACGCACACATACACACGCACACACACACACACGGGGACACACACACACACACGGGGACACACACACATACGGACACACACGCACACACACACACACGTACGTATGCACACACACGTGCACGCGCGCACCGGCACACACACACACGGTATGTATGCACACACGCGCAGGTGTTCACAAAAACAAAGATCCCCTGTATAGCCTGAACAGACTTGGGGCAAGTGCTGTTAGCGAGTAGCACCTATGAAGGCTGGCACGGCACATGAGGGGGTTGGGTGGCCAACGCCACGCCCGGCCGCCTTTGTGTCCCCAGTGGCGATGTTTACACACCGCACCAGGTACTTATTTGAGGCTGAGTCGATCTAGGGGAGGCCCAAGAGCGGTTCAGATAATCGTCTAACTTGGGTCCCCGTGTTTGTAGCGCAGTGCACTAGCTGCTACACGAGCGCTCCACATGCACACACGCACAGACGCGCGCACACAATTTATCGTAGTAGAACAAAATTTTCATTTGAAAGTAAATACATGTTTCTAAAAATAGTCATTAATTACGCGAAGGCGGGTCGTCGCGACGCCTTAGTTTTAAGAGCAGGCGAGAGCAACGTTGGGACTGAGGAGTGCCAACATTTTTATATTTATACACACACACACATTTGTTGGGTTGGCGCTGTCGTTCCTGTAGCACAAGGCTGTCACGAAGACGGGTGCTGCTGTGTTTTTCACAGACGCAGGCTGCAGTCGTTAGGCAGTGGAGTGGGCGACACTGCTTTTTTTGTGTTCCGTTTGTTGTCCTTTCCCCCGCACCTCCGATGAGCACGGTTGGCTACGTGCGGTGCTGAAAAAGTCCGGCGTACATACGCGCGTACGCGCCGTGTGCGTGATCCATATTGAGTTATTGGCAGCGTGGTTTTTCGAATTGAGCAAAGTTGGACCGTCACGCCGGAAACACGGCGGCCAAATGACATCGTGGGATCTTTAACGCCCCCCCCCCCCCCCGCTCGGTGAAAGCGGACCGCTCGAAGTGGCTTATCACGTGGAAGTTTACGTCAGACAAGTACTCTACACGCATGGTGTTGATTCTAAATGTGGAGGGAAAACCCGGAGGACCCGGAGAAAAAGACACAGCCATGGGGAGAGAGAGAGAGAGACGCGCAAACTCCAAATACAGCAGGCGTCAGGGTTGGATAGGGAACCCACGACCTCCTCCACAGCAGGAGAGGGAGTTAACATCTCGCCATAGTAGCGCCCCATTGTTAACGGTTGAAACTCACGTGCCGCAGTATTAACCAGGGCGGCCTGCCGGACTCGGACCACGATGCGCTGCGACCGCGCTCCCACTGGGCCGGGTTAACTGCACATTAAATAAATAAATAGATAGCGAGCACCGCCCCCCCACGGGTTCTCCGGCAATGCAAACTAACACATGTATAATTAAACGGTCACAGCAGCAGCAGCCATCGTAAGAGAACAGGGATTTTAGTTTTTAGTTTCTTGTTCATCCGTCTGCTGGATAAGGGTCTCTCCTTGCAGTGCGGGTCACGGGGATGAGTTTGGCCATACTTCACCCTGCTGGTCAGTGCGAGTTGGGGAAGGTGGGCAGCGTCGATGCAGAAGCAGAGACTCGCAGTACAACAATCCGTTTTGCTGCACTGCTCGTAACGTCGTAGCCTCGTAAGCCCTGCGCAACCTATTTGTGCGCAGTGCTCACACATCTCTCCCTCGGCGCAAGCCTCCCGTAACTCACGTGACTTGTGTGGCCACCCCACCCTGAACCCCTCCCATCTCCTCGTCGCCGCCCACTGTGGAAACACACTCCTCTGTGCAGCAGCGGCAGCGTCAAGGCCCTGAAGCAGCTTCTTTCTCCCGATCCCCTCGTATCTCCTGGCTCTTTTTCTTTTGTGTCTCTGTTTCCTTTCCTTACGTTATATCCATGACGAAATTACAACTAAACTATTTTTTAGTTTACCAGGTAAGGCCCACTAAGCTCTTTAGCTCTTTTTCAGAAACAATCTGGCCACAAATGATAGCTCAACAAAGTCACTTATCACGTAGAAATGTATCGCAGTCAAAAACTATAAATGCGTAATGTTGATTTTAAGTGTGGAGGGAAAAACCTTAGGACCCGGAGAAAAATATACAACAGGCGTCGGGATTGAACCCACGACTTCCGACACACCAGGCGCGGTAGTGAACAGACTTATAGTCTTCATTAAGACTGGAGGAGGAATCCGATGAGCTCTAAAGGTCTTTTCCACCAATGTCCAGTAGGGCGCGGGTCAGAATGTTCCAACAACAAACAGTACAAAAATACGACGGGAGTGCAAAGTCAAAGGAAGGATAAACAACTCACTTTAAGCCTCAAATCAAGATTGAACTCGCTTTAAAAATCTGTACAAACAAAACTGTTTAAGAAATCTTACCAGGTTAAAGCCCACTTGAGCTATTTAGCTTCTCTTTCTGGCCACAAATGAGGAGCCACGGGGCGGTACGGAGTTGCCGATCCAAGCGACGCTCTCCCCGCTCGGCCCGTGCCGGGCCGCCCGAGACGCGACGAGCCAGGACACGTTCCCGTGACATTCGGTTGCAGGCCGTGACGGGAAACGTGACGGGGGATTCAGATTCTATTTATTCATGATAGTTATTATTACACTCGTTTACACCGCAAACTATTAATTGAGTCTTGTTACTCATTTGTCAGAAGGGTCTTGCCATATTTTTGTAGTTTACGGAGTAGGTGGTGATTGACTTTATTTATTTTTTTAACAGGTAAGACACCTCTGAGCTGTATACAGCTGTAAATCATAAGCGACCTGGCCACAAACGAACAGGGGCTTAACACGTGGAAATTTGTAGGAGTCAAATCATCTAAACACATGTTGTTGATTCTAAATGTGGAGACAAAAACTTCGGGACCCGGAGAAAAATCTACACGACCACGGGGAGAGAGTTTACATGAAAACTCCAAATTTGCAGCAGGCGTCAGGGTCAGGATAGAACCCACGACCTGTATACCAGGCTAGGTAGTTAACATCCCACCACCGTGGCACCCTGTGTCACCCAATAGAGTAATTTTTACGGGTAAAATTTTTTTAACGTGGCCAATTCGGACCGCGACACCGGGAAGGCAGCGGCCCTCTTGTGAAGCGTACGGCGCGGTCAGCGCTCACATGCGGCATCCATAGCGGGGGAGGGAGCTGCCGCTGGATTCGAACCTCTGCACTGAGCGGCGAATGCCCCCCCCCACCCCCGCTGGCCCGCGGCCCCCCCAGCTTTGAGTCCTCCGCATGGGGGGCGGCTCGCACGATTAGCGCACTCGCGGTACAAATAACGATTCCAAAACAACAGCAACAACGACGGCGGCAGCGGCGATATTCAAGCTGAACCAAACAGAATCCATTCGGGGCACAAAATGTAAAACGGAACACTTCATTATTATTCAACGGTATGTTTTGTCTGCCCCAGGTGCCAGTGACCACACGCTGTTAATATTTTTATTGGAGTGACCGTTGGGCTTGCGAGCGATACGGCGAGAGTGGCGGCAGCATAATGTGGTTTTTTTTTCACACACTTAAGCTTTTTCATTTTGCCGGAGTTGATTGTAACGATGCGAATTTGAAATGTGCACCCATATTCATTCTCCATCGCCCGCCCACCCGCCCAGGGATTATAAATTGGTTTTACTTTTCCGAAATGAAGGCTTTCCACTGCTGGCCCAAGAGTCTCACTTAAGCACATTTCTTTTTTGAATTTGTTACGACATGCAGAGTGCCCCATGAAGGTTGATGTTTGTACTTGTTCGTCCGCTGTGTATTTGATTTTTGGCGAGCAGTTGCACGCATAAAAGCGAGGCTGCCTGGATTGTAGCGGAGTCGTGTTCAGTTGTGGAATTGGCACCTAAACATCACCGCATGCTGCACCACTTACAATCCCACAATCACCACTTACAATCCCACAACTGCCACTAGCAATGCCACAACAGGCACTAACAATCCCACAATCGCCACTGTGATGTATAAGGCGATCTGTCTGTTCCCCCTCTCGCCCCCCTTTCCCCGTGCCAGGCACGGTTCCCCGGCGTGGTTCTGCTCCCGGAGGGTGAATTCGGATCTACCCTGCTCATCCAGAACCCCGCCGTGCCGGGGTACAGCGCGTGTGTGTGTGTGTGACACCGCACCTACACCACACGGCACCTCGCCTCACCACGCCACACTGCATCACACTGCACTGCACCGGACCACGCCTTGCCACACCACACAGCCTCACACTGCATCGCACCTACGCCACACGGCATCACACCTCACCGTACCACGCCACACGGCACCACGCCACACGGCATCACACTGCACCACGCCTCACGGCACCTCGCCTCACCACACCACACAGCGCCACCCTGCACCACTCCACACCACGCCTTGCCACACCACACAGCCTCACACTGCACCGCACCTACGCCACACGGCATCACACCTCACCATACCACGCCACACGGCACCGCGCCACACAGCATCACACGGCACCGCACCACGCCACACGGCACCGCACAACACGGCACCTAATTGCACCGCATCACGCCGCAACATACCGCATCGCACCACACCACGCGACGCCGCACCGTGCTGTGCCACTGCTCGTTAAGACACCGCAGTGGGAGTCACCACTGCCCAGTCCGGCTCTCCAACAGCACCACCACTGTGTCACCCTCCCCACTGTGTCACCCTCCCCACTGTGTCACCCTCCCCACTGTGTCACCCTCCCCACTGTGTCACCCCTCCCCACTGTGTCACCCTCCCCACTGTGTCACCCTCCCCACTGTGTCACCCTCCCCACTGTGTCACCCCTCCCCACTGTGTCACCCCTCCCCACTGTGTCACCCCTCCCCACTGTGTCACCCCTCCCCACTGTGTCACTCCCCCCACTGTGTCACTCCTCCCCACTGTGTCACCCCTCCCCACTGTGTCACCCCTCCCCACTGTGTCACCCCTCCCCACTGTGTCACCCTCCCCACTGTGTCACCCCTCCCCACTGTGTCACCCCTCCCCCCTGTGTCACCCCTCCCCACTGTGTCACTCCTCCCCACTGTGTCACCCCTCCCCACTGTGTCACCCCTCCCCACTGTGTCACTCCTCCCCTCTGTGTCACCCCTCCCCACTGTGTCACCCCTCCCCACTGTGTCACCCTCCCCACTGTGTCACTCCCCCCACTGTGTCACCCCTCCCCACTGTGTCACCCCTCCCCACTGTGTCACCCCTCCCCACTGTGTCACCCCTCCCCACTGTGTCACCCCCACTGTGTCACCCCTCCCCACTGTGTCACCCTCCCCACTGTGTCACCCCCACTGTGTCACCCCTCCCCACTGTGTCACCCCTCCCCACTGTGTCACCCCTCCCCACTGTGTCACTCCCCCCACTGTGTCACCCCTCCCCACTGTGTCACTCCTCCCCACTGTGTCACCCCTCCCCACTGTGTCACCCCTCCCCACTGTGTCACCCTCCCCACTGTGTCACCCCTCCCCACTGTGTCACCCCTCCTCACTGTGTCACCCCTCCCCACTGTGTCACCCCTCCCCACTGTGTCACCCCTCCCCACTGTGTCACCCCTCCCCACTGTGTCACTCTCCTCCCCACTGTGTCACTCCCCCCACTGTGTCACCCCTCCCCACTGTGTCACTCCCCCCCACTGTGTCACCCCTCCCCACTGTGTCACCCTCCCCACTGTGTCACCCCTCCCCACTGTGTCACCCCTCCTCACTGTGTCACCCCTCCCCACTGTGTCACCCCTCCCCACTGTGTCACCCCTCCCCACTGTGTCACCCCTCCCCACTGTGTCACCCCTCCCCACTGTGTCACTCTCCTCCCCACTGTGTCACTCCCCCCACTGTGTCACCCCTCCCCACTGTGTCCCTCCCCCCCACTGTGTCAACCCCTCCCCACTGTGTCCCCCTCCCCACTGTGTCACCCCTCCCCACTGTGTCACCCTCTCCACTGTGTTACCCTCCCCACTGTGTCACCCCTCCCCACTGTGTCACCCCTCCCCACTGTGTCACTCACCCCACTGTGTCACCCCTCCCCACTGAGTCACCCCTCCCCACTGTGTCACCCCTCCCCACTGTGTCACCCCTCCCCACTGTGTCACCCCTCCCCACTGTGTCACTCCTCCCCCCACTGTGTCACCCCTCCCCACTGTGGTCACCCCTCCCCACTGTGTCACTCCCCCCCACTGTCACCCCTCCCCACTTCCCACTTCCACCCCTCCCCACTGTGTCACCCCTCCCCACTGTGTCCTACTCCCCCCCACTGTGTCACTACCCACCCCACTGTGTCACTCCCCCCACTGTGTCACCCTCTCCACTGTGTCCACCCCCTCCCCACTGTGTCACTCCCCCCCACTGTGTCACTCCCCCCACTGTGTCACCCCTCCCCACTGTGTTACCCCTCCCCACTGTGTCACCCCCTCCCCACTGTGTCACCCCTCCCCACTGTGTCACTCCCCCCCCACTGTGTCACTCCCCCCCACTGTGTCACTCCCCCCACTGTGTCACCCCTCCCCACTGTGTCACTCCCCCCACTGTGTCACCCCTCCCCACTGTGTCACCCCTCCCCACTGTGTCACCCCTCCCCACTGTGTCACTCCCCCCTCTGTGTCACCCCTCCCCACTGTGTCACTCCCCCCCCACTGTGTCACCCCTCCCCACTGTGTCACTCCCCCCCCACTGTGTCACTCCCCCCACTGTGTCACCCCTCCCCACTGTGTCACCCCTCCCCACTGTGTCACCCCTCCCCACTGATTCACCCCTCCCCACTGTGGTCACCCCTCCCCACTGTGTCACCCCTCCCCACTGTGTCACTCCCCCCACTGTGTCACCCCCTCCCCACTGTGTCACTCCCCCCCCCACTGTGTCACCCCCTCCCCACTGTGTCACTCCCCCCCACTGTGTCACCCCTCCCCACCGTGTCACTTCCCCCACTGTGTCACCCCTCCCCACTGTGTCACTCCCCCCCCACTGATTCACCCCTCCCCACTGTGTCACCCCTCCCCACTGTGTCACTCCCCCCCACTGTGTCACTCCTCTGTGTCACTGCGCCACCCTCCCCACTGTGTCACTCCCCCCCACTGTGTCACTCCTCTGTGTCACTGCGCCACCCTCCCCACTGTGTCACCCCCCCCCACTGTGTCACCCCTCCCCACTGTGTCACCCCTCCCCACTGTGTCACTCCCCCCCACTGTCACCCCTCCCCACTGTGTCACCCCTCCCCACTGTGTCACCCCTCCCCACTGTGTCACTCCCCCCCACTGTGTGTGTCTCACTCCCCCCCACTGTGTCACTCCCCCCACTGTGTCACCCCCCCCACTGTCACCCCTCCACACTGTGTCACTCCCCCCCACTGTGTCACTCCCCCCCCACTGTGTCACCCCCCCCACTGTGTCACCCCTCCCCACTGTGTCACCCCTCCCCACTGTGTCACCCCTCCCCACTGTGTCACCCCTCCCCACTGTGTCACTCCCCCCCCACTGTGTCACTCCCCCCCCACTGTGTCACTCCCCCCACTGTGTCACCCCCCCCCACTGTGTCACCCCTCCCCACTGTGTCACTCCCCCCACTGTGTCACCCCTCCCCACTGTGTCACCCCCTCCCCACTGTGTCACCCCTCCCCACTGTGTCACTCCCCCCACTGTGTCACCCCTCCCCACTGTGTCACTCCCCCCCCCACTGTGTCACTCCTCCCCACTGTGTCACTCCCCCCCACTGTGTGTGTCTCCTCCCCCCCACTGTGTCACCCCTCCCCACTGTGTCACCCCTCCCCACTGTGTCACCCCTCCCCACTGTGTCACCCCTCCCCACTGTGTCACTCCCCCCCACTGTGTCACTCCTCTGTGTCACTGCGCCACCCTCCCCACTGTGTCACTCCCCTCCACTGTGTCACTCCTCTCCACTGTGTCACTGCGCCACCCTTCCCACTGAATTTCGACGCCGTGTTGCGGAGGCTCGGGATCCCTGAATCGGCATCTCTATTTGGATTGCAGCAGCAGGAATCCGATGAGCTGTGAAGCTCTTTGTCACAGACGGCCGCCACCGCTCCGCACCGATTTACTGGCCGTGTGTGTTTTTTTCGTTCCGTTGGTATGTTTCATTGTTTTGGTGACCCGGGTCACGCTTCCAAAATGAGACGTACCCACGGCCCGGTCTCCTCTCGCGTCGCTCTCACCTGGCCAAACAACATCGACGCGACGGAGCCGGCGCCCGGCCCTTTCTGGTCAAAACATTTTCTACCCTCGGCTATTCTCGGCTATTCTCGTCCGCGGAAGAATGTTCCCGCTCCTTCGCCCCCAAACGGGCGAACCGCGGAGCCGCGTTTCCGAGCAACATCGCGATATGGCCTTGACGGGCAAACGCCCGCCTCTTAACGTGAAAAAAAATCGAAGAATAGCGCGCGTTTATTTTCGTCGTCGTAATGACGGAAGGAGAAAAATAACTCGCGCCGGAATCGCGCCGAGGGATGGGGAAGAGGGGCACATGCGGCGTTGGAACTGTTGATGCGGGCGGTGGTCGAGAACAACGATGAAGTGGCAGCAGCCGAGGAATTGAACGACCGCCGAGGAGATGCAGCGATGAAATCAGTTCATGTGCGGGGATCGATCGTCGTCGCTGTTGTTGGTGATGAGGAATGATTGGCAGCCACGGTCATTTTTTGTTGACGCGCGCGCACCTGTGCGTGTGTGCGTTTGTTCGTGAATGCTGGTTGTTGCCGTGGTGGGTGGTGGTGGTTGTTGCCGTGGTGGTTGGTGGTGGTTGTGGGTGGTGGTGGTGGTTGTCGCGATGGTGGTGAGTGGTGGTGGTTGCAATCAAACAAGCTGTCACACACGACTGAGATGGACACTCACAAATGCGGCGTTCTCCCCGTGGTGTTGAGTGGTGATGTTTTTTCTGTAGAGGCCTGCGAAAGTGCGCATGAGTGTGTGTGTGTAGCGGTTAGCGCTACGCTGCGCTACGAACCCGGGTTCGATTCCCGCTCACGGCCAACACCGGTGACAATTATCTGAACTGGTCCCAGGCCTCCCCTAGGTCGACTCAGACTCAAATGAGTACCTGGTGCGATGTGTAAACATTGCCACTGGGGAGACAAAGGCGGTCGGGCGTGGTGCTGGCCACCCACCCCCTCGTGTACCGTGCCGGCCTTCATAGGTGCTCTCTAACAGCACTTGTCCCTACAGTCTGTTAAGGCTACACGGGGGATCTTTGTATTTTTGTGTGATGACGCAGGTGAGGGAACCGTTAATGTCGCGGTCGCTGCGCTAGGAACCCGGCCACCCGAGTTCGATTCCCGCTCACTGCCAACACCGGTGACGATTATCAGAACCGGTCCTGGGCCTCCCCTAGATCGACTCGGCCTAAAAGGAGTACCTTGTGCGGAGTGTGAACTCATCCCAACTTGGGAGACAAATGCGGTCGGGCGTGGTGCTGACCACCCACCCTGCTGGCGTTCATAGGTGCGACTTGCTAACAGCACTTGCCCCAACAGTCTGTTAAGGCTACACGGGGGATCTTTGTCTTTGTAGGCCCCGCTTCCTCGTGGTGTGGCGGACCGAAGTGCACCCCCACGGCCTCGTGCTGCCCAACATCCAGCTGCACGTCAAGACGACGCAACGCAGTGAGTCACTCGCACTCATGAACTATCCACCCAGCAAGTCCCCATTGTCCACCCAGCGTGTCCCATTGTCCACCCAGCAAGTCCCCCATTGTCCACCCAGCGTGTCCCCATTGTCCACCCAGCGAGTCCCCCATTGTCCACCCAGCAAGTCCCCCATTGTCCACCCAGCAAGTCCCCCATTGTCCACCCAGCGAGTCCCCCATTGTCCACCCAGCGCATCGCCATTGTCCACCCAGCGAGTCCCCCATTGTCCACCCAGCGAGTCCCCCATTGTCCACCCAGCAAGTCCCCCATTGTCCACCCAGCAAGTCCCCCATTGTCCACCCTGCGAATCCCCCATTGTCCACCCAGCGAGTCCCCCATTGTTCACCCAGCGCATCCCCCATTGTCCACCCAGCAAGTCCCCCATTGTCCACCCAGCAAGTCCCCCCATTGTCCACCCAGCAAGTCCCCATTGTCCACCCAGCGAGTCCCCCATTGTCCACCCAGCGCATCCCCATTGTCCACCCAGCGCATCCCCATTGTCCACCCAGCAAGTCCCCCATTGTCCACCCAGCAAGTCCCCCATTGTCCACCCAGCAAGTCCCCATTGTCCACCCAGCGAGTCCCCCATTGTCCACCCAGCGCATCCCCATTGTCCACCCAGCACATCCCGATTGTCCACCCAGCGAGTCCCCCATTGTCCACCCAGCGAGTCCCCCATTGTCCACCCAGCGCATCCCCCATTGTCCACCCAGCAAGTCCCCCATTGTCCACCCAGCAAGTCCCCCATTGTCCACCCAGCAAGTCCCCATTGTCCACCCAGCAAGTCCCCCATTGTCCACCCAGCGTGTCCCCATTGTCCACCCAGCGAGTCCCCCATTGTCCACCCAGCAAGTCCCCCATTGTCCACCCAGCAAGTCCCCCATTGTCCACCCAGCGAGTCCCCCATTGTCCACCCAGCGCATCGCCATTGTCCACCCAGCGAGTCCCCCATTGTCCACCCAGCGAGTCCCCCATTGTCCACCCAGCAAGTCCCCCATTGTCCACCCAGCAAGTCCCCCATTGTCCACCCTGCGAATCCCCCATTGTCCACCCAGCGAGTCCCCCATTGTCCACCCAGCGCATCCCCCATTGTCCACCCAGCGCATCCCCCATTGTCCACCCAGCAAGTCCCCCATTGTCCACCCAGCAAGTCCCCCATTGTCCACCCAGCAAGTCCCCCATTGTCCACCCAGCGAGTCCCCCATTGTCCACCCAGCACATCCCCATTGTCCACCCAGCGCATCCCCATTGTCCACCCAGCAAGTCCCCCATTGTCCACCCAGCAAGTCCCCCATTGTCCACCCAGCAAGTCCCCATTGTCCACCCAGCGAGTCCCCCATTGTCCACCCAGCGCATCCCCATTGTCCACCCAGCGCATCCCCATTGTCCACCCAGCAAGTCCCCCATTGTCCACCCAGCGAGTCCCCCATTGCCCACCCAGCGAGTCCCCCATTGTCCACCCAGCGCATCCCCCATTGTCCACTCAGCAAGTCCCCCATTGTCCACCCAGCAAGTCCCCATTGTCCACCCAGCGAGTCCCCCATTGTCCACCCAGCGCATCCCCATTGTCCACCCAGCGCATCCCCATTGTCCACCCAGCGAGTCCCCCATTGTTCACCCAGCGAGTCCCCCATTGTTCACCCAGCAAGTCCCCCATTGTCCACCCAGCGAGTCCCCCATTGTCCACCCAGCGCATCCCCCATTGTCCACCCAGCAAGTCCCCCATTGTCCACCCAGCAAGTCCCCCATTGTCCACCCAGCGCATCCCCCATTGTTCACCCAGCGAGTCCCCCATTGTCCACCCAGCGAGTCCCCCATTGTCCACCCAGCGCATCCCCCATTGTCCACCCAGCAAGTCCCCCATTGTCCACCCAGCAAGTCCCCCATTGTCCACCCAGCGAGTCCCCCATTATCCACCCAGCGCATCCCCATTGTCCACCCAGCGCATTCCCATTGTCCACCCAGCAAGTCCCCCATTGTCCACCCAGCAAGTCCCCATTGTCCACCCAGCGAGTCCCCCATTGTCCACCCAGCAAGTCCCCCATTGTCCACCCAGCAAGTCCCCATTGTCCACCCAGCGAGTCCCCCATTGTCCACCCAGCAAGTCCCCATTGTCCACCCAGCGAGTCCCCCATTGTCCACCCAGCGCATCCCCATTGTCCACCCAGCGCATCCCCATTGTCCACCCAGCGCGTCCCCATTGTCCACCCAACGAGTCCCCTATTGTCCACCCAGCGAGTCCCACATTATCCACCCAGCGCATCCCCATTGTCCACCCAGCAAGTCCCCCATTGTCCACCCAGCGAGTCTCCCATTGTCCACCCAGCGCGTCCCCCATTGTCCACCCAGCGAGTCCCCCATTGTCCACCCAGCGCGTCCCCATTGTCCACCCAGCAGGGTCCCCCATTGTCCACCCAAGCACATCGCTGTCCCAGACCCCCCCGCCCTCCTCTCGTCTCTTGGACCGCTCCACCTTGTGGGGCAGGGCGTGCGCACGAGGCCAGGGTGGGTGGTGTGCCAGGCACCCTCTCGCCCAGCCGGGGCCGCGTGAGCTGGCGAGGGTGCCGAGCTGGCGAGGGTGCCGAGCGGGCGGCACCGGCGACGCCCAACCCCTAGACGGCGCTCGGTGACAACCGCCCAGCCCCGCGTCAGACGTCGTGGTCGTCCCTCCTGGTGGACGTTGCCGTAGCTTCGTAGCTGGGTTCCTCCAGGATTCTGGTGGCGGTTGTTGTTGTTTGACGGGGGGGGGGGGTGGCGGCGTCTCTTGCAGTGGAGGAGCAGGGGCTGGGCGCAATGCCGGAGGATGCGCCGCGGGCCTTCCAGACCCTCCTGCAGCTGCAGGGCATCGAGACGGCGCTCGCCTGCTTCGTGCGCAGCGTGCAGCCCGCGGAGTAGCAGCACGCCGTGCCACGCCGTGCCACGCCACGCCACGCCATGCCACACCGTGCCACGCTGTGCCGTGCCACGCCGTGCCACGCCGTGCCACGCCGTGCCACGCCACGGCAATCCACGGCGCTCCCTTGCCACGCCGCACAACGTTGTTGCCGTGCCCGTGCCAAGCTATACTGTCGCCACCTCACACCACACCACGCCAAGCTATACCGTGCCACCCGATACACCACACCGCCACACGTACCACGTGACAATTCACCCGCACTTTCATTTGACGCTCGTCCAAATTCGGAGTTGTTCGGTCTCGCTTTTTTCGGTGTTTTTACCTGTCTCTTTTGTAACGTCGCTTGTGTCTTTCGTCGTTGGTTCATGCGACCCCCGGTGTGTATCGACACGGCGCATTTTCTTGCCTTGTTTTTTGTCCGTAAATAATAAACAGCGATCCCCACCCCGTGCTCGCATCCGTGAGCGCGTCGCTCGCTTCCCCCATCGTCGGGTCGGCCGCACACGCCGGCAGCACCGTTCCCACGCCGCCACCACCGCCGCCGCCGCGCTAGGCTCGAGATGGCCCGCACAGCGCCACGTCGCTTCTCGCATCGTGACTCTGCTGCGTGATCGTGGGTGTGGCATTGCTGGAGCCTTGTTTTTTTACAGGAAGGCCATTTTACAACGGGAGAAACGTTGCGTCAGAGTCATCGTGTGGGCGAGGAGGGTGGATCACGAGGAGAGAAGTACGCTGAGAAGGGCTGATGCCCGGCGGCGGTCGAGACTAGCGGACAGGGTGGCGACCGAAGGGGTGAACACGCCTGGCGGAGCGCCTACTGCGGAGACGGAACGATAAGATCGGCTCGCGTGCATCCACATGGATTGCCATCTTTGTATTACATAATATTCATCCACACCGTGAGGCAAAGATCCCTCGTATCAACGTTGCATGCTGTCGGGGAAAGCGCTGTTAGCGATCGGCTGTTAAGGCCGGCACGGCACTCGAGGGCCAGCACCACTCCTGGCCGTCTTTGTCTCCCCTGATGTTTTACATGCCACACCAGATAATCATTTAAGGCTGAGTCGACCTAGGAGAGGCCCAGGACAGATTCGGATATCCGTCGCTGGCGTCGCCCGCGAGCGCGAATCGAACTCCGGCCACCCGGGGTTCGCCGTTCTCCGCCACGTCCACAACTCTGCCCACCTCCACCAATGCCGGATATCACCACGTCGCACCACCACGCCGCACCGGCACGCCGCACCGGCACGCCGCCTCACCCCGCGCGCACAACGTGACGCCGCCGCCGCAACCACGCGGACCGCGGTGGCCGCTTCGTACCACGCGACGTGCTCCCGCCACTCGCGCCACGTGCGTCGTCGCGGCTCCTCGTCACGGCGAGCCGGGCCGGGCCAACCTCGTCACGGCGCACAGCCCACTCCACCCACGCATGGCCGAGGGCCGTTGCGCAACAGATGGGGATGGGGCCGGCCACGGGGAGGGCCGCTCGCTCGCCCCCCCCCCTCTCTGAGCCGAGGGAACTGTCGGGCGTGCTATTCCGATCCTCGTCATTATTGAGGCCGTGGTTTATTATTATTTTACATCTCTCAGATTGAACCTAAACAGAGACGGGGAAACAACATGCATCGTCTCGAGTCTCTCGCCATCGCCTCGGCGGGCGGCGTGGGGGCCACATGCAGGGGGTGGGGAGCGCTGTACATTGCTGGATGATTTCCACGGTTTTCTACTGGCCCATGTCAAGTAAACATACAAATCACCCCACTCGCCAAGCCTTTCCTGTCTGATGCTGTTCGTGCTGCTGTTAGTATTGCTCCTATCAGTATTGCTGCTGCTGTTAGTACTTCTGTTGCTGCTGTTAGTACTGCTGCTGTTGCTGCTGCTAGTACTGCTGCTGTTCGTGTTGCTTTTGCTGCTGCTAGTACTGCTGTTGCTGCTGCTGCTAGTACTGCTGCTGTTAGTGTTGCTGTTGCTGCTGCTGTTGTGGATGTGCTGGGTACTCGCTGTGAGCCACTCGACCACAGCGGCGAGTCACTGCTCTTGGCTCTCATTCGTCGATGGAGCGGCGCTTGGCTCGATGGGGCCGAGCGCCGTTTTCTTTGCGGGGCAGGGGACGGTGGGAGGCATGATGGCTCGTGACGATGATCCACTCGTCATCGTCAGCCGTGATCCATTCACTGCTGGATGAAGGTCCCCCCCCCTCCCTTAGCCACCGCCGTCGTCTCTCGCGGTCCTGCGATGCCACGGTCCGTCCGGCGTCTTCCCGCGGCCTCGGATCTCGTCGCTGAATCTGCTCTTGGGACGCGTTCCATGCATCCATCCCGACACTGCCTCCGCGTCATCGTTCTTCACAGTCACCCCCGTCACCGTCATCCCATCGAGCCACCCGTGCCGTGCCCTCGCCCACGCTAATGCGTTAAGGATGGCATCTCCCACCTGTTTGCGCCCTCCGCTCCTTTCGTGCCCCCCCCCCCCCATCCTATCTCGATGCAGTCCCCACGCGCGCGTGCAGCTCTCCCCGTGTATCGTTCCCGCACGTTTCGGTCTTCGTTCCGCAATGTCCGCGCTCCCGATCCGTGTCATGAGGGAGGGCGCCGATTCAACGCCCGTGTCGTTCTGTGGACGCGGAGCTGCGTTGCTTTTCACGATAAACGAGTCGCGCTGCAGCAGCACCCTTGGTCTCATTGCACCAGCGGGACACTTCACAGAATGTACGTTTCGTTTTTCTCTCTCGCTAATATTACAACAGTGCCATCGGCGTCTTGTCCGCTCGGCAAGGAAGTTTACATCCAGGGCTCACTCGCTGGCAGTGAACTGCGGGGCCCAGTCGAGTGGTCATCAAATCATTATCTGAACCGGACCACGAGTGGAAAACCAGGCTGCACGTTCTGCGCGCGTGTCTGGTTTCGGTGTGCAAGTGAGACGCGGTCAGATCTACACCTGCGGTCACTTTAACGGCCTCTTAATCCAGGCTAGCTCCCCCCCCCCCCCCCCACATCTTTTTGCTCTGTCGAGTGTCCATGAAATGCCAACTCGTGTTTTCTCCGAGCTAAAATGCAGCGAGGACAATGAGGCTGAATGTGATGCGCGTGCCCTGCGCGTCTCGTTTTCGGGGTGCGATGATGACTGGCGGGGCTGAGCTCCACACGCAGCACGCCTGTGTTGATGCAGCGCTGCGAACCTGGCGGGCCGAGGGTTCACTTCCTTGCCATGGAGAACGGCGGCGATTGATCTACGAGCCCGTCCTGGGTCTCCCCTCTGCCAACTCGGGCGTTAATGAATGCCCGAGAGCGGTGCGCAAACATCGCCACTGGGGAGACGAAGATGGCCGGGCGTGGTGCTGGCCTCGCTACACAATCGCGTGCCGTGTCGGCCTCAGCGATGCTCGCTAACAACACTTGCCTTCGACAATACCTGCCCTAAGGCTACACGGGGGGGGGGGGGGGGGGTATTGGTCTTGGCACACTCCTGTGTGTGTGCGTGTATGTTGGGGAGCGGTGCGCGCTGCACTGCGAACCCGGCGACCCGAGTTCGAATCCCGCTCACGGCCAACACCGGTGACGATTATCTGAACCGGTCCCTATGTCGACTCAGCCTCAGATGAGTCCCTGGTTGCGATGTTGTAAACATCACCACTGGGGAGACAAAGGCGGCCGGGCGTGGTTGCTGGCCATCTAACCCCTCGTGCTCTGTGCCGGGCTTTATAGGCGCTCACTAAAAGCACTTGCCCCAAAAGTATGTTAAGGCTATACGGGGCCCTTTGTCTTGTATTCGTGCACATTGGAGTCCACTTTATGCTGCTGATGATGCCGCTGCTAATGATGATGATGGTGCTGATGATGATGCTGATGATGATGCTGATAATGATGATGATGCTGCTGATGATGCTGCTGCTACTGATGATGATGCTGCTGCTGCTCCATCAGCCCGTGTGCAAGCGGCGAGCCTTGCACATTTCACGCGGTGGCCGCAGTGTGGAGAACCTAGCCTGGCACAAGCACCGAGGCCTCGCCGGCGACATCACCGCCACTTGGCGGTGAACGACGCCGCTTTGTGATTCTGTGCCACTAATGCACCTCATCGTCACGTGAAGCACATTAATCGCACCTCTTTCT